AATCTACGGTTCTCGCATGGACCTAAAAAAGGATAAAGTGCTCCATTCAGAGCTTTTCAGGAAATAGAGGCAATACATATTTCAAACAAGTTTCCCTATAACAAAATGGGATCTTTAAAAAAAAGAAAAGAAAAAGGGAAGAGAGAGAAGAAATTAACACTACCTCCATTTTATCTGAGCTTCCAGAAGGGGCCCAGGGGATTCTGTAGAGAGACACGTCAGAAGCTCCGTGATCCCAAGTCCCTCTGGAACTCTCTGGTGTTACTTGGGTATCTGCAGGTTTGTTGGGGCTGGCAGAGTCCCTGTCGTAAGAAAAGGAAGAACAAAGTTTTTGGAGGTGATCTACAAAAACTGCATGTAATCAAACCGCCCTGTTCTATTTTAATGGGCATGGGAAGACTGGCTGACGACATGGCTTAGAACCAAGTATCTTACCAATTCAGTTCGTTTAAAAGTAAATACAAGACAGAGCTCTGAAAACTGCAAGCATTTTATGGATATAATAGGTTATTATTTATATTCTACTAAAACTGAGTTTTTTTAAAGCTTGCATTTAGTCACACTATTCTAACTCAGTGGTTCTTGTTCGCTTTGCACCTCACAATTTTGGGGAATCTAAGAAAAACCATGGACTCCTTCACACAACAATACACAGTAAATGCAAACTTTAGCACACAATACAGAGCGTGCATGGCACATTGTGGTCCATAAAATGCTCTGATCTAAGTAATTCACACGTAAGCTTTTCCTACAGATCACTCACCTTAAACACAACGTGCAGCTGACTGCGCTGACTCTATCCGGAGACAGGAATAGCCCTGAAATCCCAATTAAGAGCACTGCTACTGACCAGCAGTCTAGTTAGTTTGCAGCTCAAGCCATCTGGAATGTCTGCCACCAGTTCGGAGCTTCCATTGTCAATTATTTCTCTACCTCCTGATAACCAAAGCCAAATACACAAAACCCAGAGCCATCAAAAAATTTGTTTCTAATCATTACAATGAAAAGGCCCACTGAGATCAAGAGACTGGTACCACTTTCACAAGCACAACTGCAAAACAAACCAACCGTTAGAATGCACTTCGGATATATCTAAACGTTCTTAGGAAATCTTAAGGATTACAAACATACATTCAAAGCATCCATTTGGTGTATTAGATGACCTGCTTCCACTGGTACGTCTTCCTGACTTTGTCTTCTCTTGACCACTCCTGTTATGTTTATGAAAAATCTGTCAGTCTGCTCATGTGGACACATTTCCACCTCTAGCCAATACCATTCCAGGTAAGAACCGATGCCAAGAAGGCAACAGAAGTTGCTAAGAGGTGTTAACCTGGTCAGAAAAGAGCAGAAGCGGGTACTGTTGGATGTTCAGGAGTAGACTGAGAGAACTGACAAGATGTCTTAAGCATGGATAGACAGCTGGGCACCAAAGGAAAAGCTTCTAAGCCTCCATGAAGGAGTTGCTGGATAGGAAGGAAAAGTTCCAGACTATAGCACGGATCCTACCATGAGCTTCCTGGGCGAGGCTGGGCAAGTCACTTAAATTCTCTAGACCCGTGCTGTCCACCATGGGAGCCACCAGCCACACGTAGCCATTGAGTACTTGAAATGTGGTACCTGGATTAAGATGTGCCGTAGGTGTAAATTAATACACACTGGATTGCAAAAAACATTATTACCAAAAAGACATGAAATATCTCATTAATAATTATGATACTGACAAATGCTGAAATGCTGATATACAGAATACAATGACACATTATTAAAATTCATTACATTTTTCTCTTTACGTTTTCTAATTGGCTACTAGAAAATTCTGAGTTACCTCTGTGGCCCCCTATTTCTTGGGAACTAACTGGTTCCAGACTCAATTTCTTAACCACTATTGAATTAGAGAATCGTGCTGAGCACTAGCCAGAAACTGGAGACACAAATTGAGCAAAATAGACATGTCTCTGCCTTCCTTAGGAGGGAAAAGTCGAATAGATAGAAAAAGAACAGGCAACGATAACTGGGTTAAATACTATGCAAGCACCATGAGAGGGAGAAAGGGACATCCCTTCCTCGAAGTGGCCTCAGAGTGGAGCAGGGAAGGCAGGGCCCAGGCAGGGGCCCAGCATCTCCCTCACCTTTCCACTACAGAAGTCTGCCCTCCCTCTGAGAGCCACACAGTTCACCTTCCTTACATAATCTCAGGTATTGTTACCTTTTATCTCTGCAACAAAATCACGAACTACTGAGGGCAAAGACGCTTAGATTTTCTCAACCCTGACAACACTTTATGTATAGGAAGATCTCCAAAACTCTGCTAACTAATGCATGGTTTCTAGAGACAATGTCCAACATTCATCAAGAAAGCGCTGTCTCCCCACCCTCTACACACACACACGCACACACACAGAGCAGTCAAGTATCTGGGAGATGAATCAGTGACTGTGGCAGGTAGAATAATAGGAGAGAAATTATCATAAAAGGAATGGACAAAGAGAGAAGATGAGAAGAAAATAAGCAAAAAACAGTTTAGAAACCCAACCATTATTAAACCCGGGCAAAAAATAACAAGAAATGAAGTAACCAAGGAGGTTTGGTGACACGAGCACACGGTGCTGTTTCCCGATGATCAATAAAGCACAGCCACAGCTCACAGGTGCTTTTCCTCAGCAGTCCTTGGAGGAGCCCCCTTGTCACACCCTGCAGAAATGCCGACCGTGCACACGGTCTGTGAGAAGAGGTCTTTAAGAGGCGTGTTAGCCCATGACCTGTCCACTTCCACCTGTAAGAGAACCAAAAAATGCATGGACTAGAGAGCTGTGTCTGGCACAATTGTCTGGTAAATGATGACTGCCTAGGAATTCTAACCACCTGATCACTTCCCTTGCCTCCCTTCACATCACTGCCTTATTTCTGAGAAATTCTCCTGTGCATTAGCTTATTTATTACACACAAGAACCCTGTGAGACCCAATGGTCATTGTACTGCTTTTGAAACTGAAACGCGGAACGAAATGATCATGTTCACGTGTATAAATGAGCTTTTGGACAATCCAAAGGAGCAGCACAGTCCATAACTGGGTGCTTACAGAAGCTATCTCTAGCTTCCAGAAATGACCCTGAGATCCCCATATGAATGGCCCCACAGGCAAACATGAGTTTTAAATCCATTCACTGCGGAAGCCCTTCGATTTGCTCCCACTTGGAAGCAGGTTGTCATGGAAACAGCTCTCCACCCCCATCATCATCTCAAAAATGCTCAGTGCCAAAGGGCCATTCTTGTAACTTTATATTCACATTTTCCCTTCGTCCTACTCACGTGTCCTGTCCTCCTTTTACCTGACAATCCCCCCACCTCCTTCCAGCATCCCCTTGCTAGCTCTCCTTTTTAGAAACATTATTGTGACAATTTCAGTAATTCATAGATAGCAGAGCACCATTATAGGCATCTGGATGAGAGGGAAACACCTTCTAGATACTATCAGTCTTTACCTAAAGGATGTTTTTGTGATTACTATCACACAGCAAAACATTTCTAAACAAAATGCGAGACAGCCCAATATATTACCAATATTCAAACAGTGCTTTAATATATAACAAGTTTTCAACACTAGATCAATAAAACAGCAAGTATGCAAAATAAGCTACCATCTACGCTTGTTTAGATTCTTCTGTTAAACCTACTAGGAAAGCAAGTATTTCTAAACCCATTCTAATGTCAACCTACCTCTCTGACATCGTCTTCTGGTCTTTTGTAGCAGACAATATATTTATGCACTTTTCCAAGGGCAGGTTCCCACAAGACATTCCTGGTGCTGTGAGTCACATCTCGGATTCAGGTATCAAGGACTGGGCAAAGGCCCTGGAGATGCAGGACAAATTAGGTCCAGATGCGGTTCTCAACCACAAAACAAAGCTCTAAAGCATCCACACAAGCTTTCAACAGGTTGTTTGGAGAAGACTTCGAGGTGTGCAGCAGAGTAACAAACTGGTTATGATGACATAAGTACCATGATTCTACCAGGTACAGATGAATTCTTCTTAAGAAGGTTTTTTAAAATTAGGATAAATTTAAATTTTTATTACAACTCTAACTTCTCTATGTTAAATTTCTTCTACTCTATTTAAGGAAGTTCTTACTTACCGCTCAGCTATAATAAAGCAAAATTCACTGTAAGTGGGTAGCTCACGTTTATCAGAGTTAAAGCAGTTAAGAGAGAAATCAAAATCAGCAATACGCTCCCCTAAGACTATGATAAGAAAAACAGATGGTTCCAAGAGTGAAGAATGAAGATGAGCTGAAATTCAGCACAGAAGCCAAAACGGTTAGAAGAAAGTCTCAGTGATAAATTTTCACCAAGTCAAACAAAGCTTTACCTTCAAAAGATTGAGGAGTATAACTAATGAAGAAATTTTTTTTTCAAGAGTTATTTTATTTTTAATTTTTTAAACAATTTTATTGTGGTATAATTTCTGTACAGTAAGCTCACATACTTTTGATGCACAATTTGATGAATTTTGACAGGTGTGGGCACCTATGAAGCCATCTCCACAATCAAGAGACCTAACATTTCCACTGGGAGTTTGAAATTTGCACCTCTGGGAGAATTTCTTTTGCTCTGAGACATATCTCACTCATTCTAGCTGCCTGTCTACCAATTTCCTTTGCCTCTCCTTTCAGCTCTCTCCGTCTCTCTTCCTGAATCTGTCTCCACCTCCATGTTTCTGCACCTCCATCCCTTCAATGTTCTCATCTCCGTGCCCTCCAGTCCTCTGCTGCTGCAGTCTAGCCCCACATCCCAACCTAGAACCTCACTCATCGCTCCTCCCACCGTGACCCTTGGGACTTTTCTCCCAGCACACGTCACCACCCCTGGCTGGCTCCCCACCCTTCCCATCTGCCACCACTCCATTCCCACCAACCACCAGCTTCTGACAGGACCCAACATACACAAGATGATTACTTGCTGTTGATGAATGTCTCCTGTCGTACTTTGCGGGTGCCTCTTTTCTGTCTCATCATGCTTCTGTCTCATCCCCTTCCCCTCTTGAGGGTTCTTTCCAACATCTTAATTTCCTTAGAAGTGTGAGCTGAGACTCTCAACATTTAAGCCGTGTAATCCATCCCAGCATGCCAACCTCAGTAAGAAACAAAACCAGGCCAGGCAAGGGTCCTACGTGCAATCACTGCCACTTTTCAAGAAAAGCCACCTGTATGCTAGTGATACAAACCAGAAACATGAAAGGGGCTGAACAACACACACGAGAAGCGCAAACCACGAAGGAGTTCATGTCCTCTGTGCTGCTCTGTATTCTTCCTTCCCAACACCTGAGCGCAGGGCTGGAGTGTCCCAGAAGATCAATGTATTTTGACACTGAGTTAATTGATTAATTTACTTAACTGAAACAGACTATTCATATGTGCCATAGAGTTTCTACTTCAACAAGAACTTGGGACATCTTGATCTTAAACCTAGTATCTTCCACCAAAACTACACTCACCCAACATTCCCGTCTCACCAGCGCTATACACCATCTTTCATGGATCTACAACATCAATTGTAAGATGCACCATTCTTTTCTGTCTTACTCCCTGATTGACACCTCACCAAGAACAGTTTTAAGACACCACTGATTGTAACATACACCTCAAAATCCAGCATGTTTAATATGGAAAAATAAATGCAAACCCTAGAATCAATGTAAGATACTGCCACAAGTCTAGAAGTAATCTTAATTCTCAAATTTGATTGAGTTAAGTAA